AGTGTCCCCAGTGTCCCTTAGTGGGTGATGTCCCCAACGTCCCAGCTGTCCCCAATGTCCCCAGTGTCCCAAAGTCCCCAATGTTCCAATGATGTCCCTTAGTGGGTGATGTCTCTAATGTCCCCAGTGTCCCCAGTGTCCCAAAGTCCCCAGTGTCCCCAGTGTCCCAAAGTCCCCAATGTCCCAATGATGTCCCTTAGTGGGTGATGTCTCTAATGTCCCCAGTGTCCCCAGTGTCCCAAAGTCCCCAATGTTCCAATGGTGTCCCTCAGTGGATGATGTCCCCAATGTCCCCAATGTCCCCAGCGTCTCAAAGTCCCCAATGCCGTCCCTTAGTGGGTGCTGTCCCTGCTGTCCCTGCTGTCCCCAATTCCCCCAATGTCCCCAACGTCCCTCAGCGGGTGACAGTGACAGTGACACGATGCCAGGCGTTGCCCAGGACCCCTCGCAGGTTCCAGATGGCTCCCATGGATCCCCGATGTCCCCAATGTCCCCAATGTCCCCGATGTCCCCGTGTCCCAATGTCCCTGCTGTCCCCAATTCCCTCAGTGTCCCCGATGTCCCCGTGTCCCTGCTGTCCCCAATTCCCTCAGTGTCCCCGATGTCCCCAATGTCCCTCAGCGGGTGACAGTGACAGGGACGCGGTGCCAGGCGTTGCTCAGGACCCCTCGCAGGTTCCAGATGGCTCCCACGCTGTCGGGCTGCACGTTGTAGCTGCTGTCCACGGCCTTGCACACGATGTCGAGCCGGGCACCCTCGGGCGCCGCCGCCCGCAGCTCCCAGAGCGCCCAGGCCCAGCCCCGGCCCCGGAGCGGCCGCGGGGCCAGCTCGGCCACTCGCCACGTGCGGCCCCCGTCCAGCGACACGTCCACCTGCAGGGTGAGAGTATTAATTAATTCATTAATTGGTATATGGACATCCGGCCCCGTTCAGGGACACGTCCACCTGCAGGGAGTGATAGAGCTCGTCAGTATTAATTCATTAATTATCAGTATTAATTCATTAATTAGTATATAGATGTCCTGCCGCCGTCCAGCGACACGTCCGCCTGCCACGGAGTGAGAGAGTTCATCAGTATTGATTAATTAATGAATTAATTAGCACATAGATGGGGGGGAATGGGGATGGGAAAATGGAGATGGGGAAAAGGGGATGGGGAACTGGGATGGATGGAAAATGGGGATAGAAAAAGGGAAATGGGACACGGGGATGGATGGAAAATGGAGATGGGGAAAGGGGATGGATGGAAAAGGGAGATGGATGGAAAACGGGGTGGAGCGGTCGGGAAAAGCGTCCGGAACCCCCGGGAGAAGCGGATGGAATTTGCGGGGAAAGCGAGAGGAGCGAGCGGACAGGAGAGGAGACGGGAGCGGAATCCCCGGGAGAACGGGGCGGGATTGCTGGGAAGAGCGAGAAGGAAAGCCGGGGTGAGCATCCCCCCTTCTCCCCGCTCCTCACTCACCCTGACCACCTCCCTTCCTCCCCCGCTCCACGCGTATCCCTTGACCGTGAGCTCCCCGGCGGGCACGGCCGCCCCGGGCCGCGGCTCGGTGATCGCCGACTGCACCGGCAGCTCCTGGATGGCCGGAGCGGCTCGGAAATCCACGGAATCCCAGTCCACGGACGGGCAGAACCCTTTGTAATCGTTCTGCTGCCAGTGGCTCTGGCTCTCGGACGGTGACACCACCACGCTCCGCAGCCACTTCACGCTCCGCGCCCCCACCACGCCGGGCACCAGCACCCGCACGGGGAAGCCGTGATCCCTCGGCAGCTCCTGCCCGTTCATCTCGTACGCCAGCAGCACCTCGGCCTCGGCGCTGAGCGCTCGTTTGAACGGGATGGACGCTCCGTACGGCGTCCCCGAAGCGTCCTCGTCCAAGCCCTCGAAGCACACGTGCCACTCGCCGTCCTCGTCGGTTCGCTCGCCGAAACCGGCGGCCAGCAGCACGTCGCGGAGCCGGGCTCCTCCCCAGCGAGCCGTGCTGATGGCCCCGATGTCCCAGGCCAGCCCCTTGACGGGTCGGACCCGGCTCATCTCGGATCTGCGGTTCCCGGCGCATTGCAGCGTGGCCGTCACTTCGTGTTTCGGGAAGCGCTGGCGCAGCTCCGACAGCGACAGCGACAGCGCGCGGCCGCCGGGACCCTCGACGCGCAGCCGGTAGGAGCCCGGATCCACGGAGGGCACCGGGAGGTGGTTGCGGGTGAAGAAAAGCTCGTTGGGGGTCAGGAAACTCTGGGTCAGCAGCTCCGGGGGCGGCTCGGCGTTAAAAGGCTTCAAGCTGTTCACCCGCAGCGCCGGGTGGCGAGGAGGGTCCCCGGCGAACGGGTCCTTGATGTCCCCCGCGGGTGGCGCGGAGTCCTCGGGGCTCAGCTCGCCCACTTTGTAGTCACGGAGCAGCTCCAGCACGTGGGGCTGGCTGTGAACGGCGTAAAGAGCCCAAAAAGGCTCCAAAGCCCCCCCGGCCGCCAGCAGGATTTTGTCCGGTCCCCCCGGGTGCAGCTCCACGAAATCGGTGACATCGAAGACCTCGGTGCCGTAGGTGACCCACACGCGGTCGCTCGGGGTGCGGTGCCGCGCCACCTCGGCCCGGCTGTAACGGGGGTACTGCGGGGCGGGGG